CGCCCTCAATTCAGCAGGGTCACCACATCCTTATCTGCACCAAATCCCATAGGGGTAAGTATAAAACCCAGTAGAGAATTCTTACAAAGTATATATAGTTATGCAACTTCAATTAAAAATGCAAATGTCAATGCTGTGCCATGCGCTTTTAAAACAAATTTGTTTCATGCTCTTTTAAAGATTACCATCTTTCAATAGATGTTGCAATCTCAATTTATTTCAAAACTTCCAACTCTTATTCGATAGGGGTGGTAAATACGACACTGGTAATCCCTAGGCTGGTGTCTGGAAGTAGACTCTACAAGTAATACCAAATTGTCATTTTTACCGGTGCTAACAAGAAGGCTCAACGCCTATCCGCGCGATTTTCTGGTCTTTCACCATGGACACTCAGGCCAACTTATCAAATTCATCTACACCCCCTAACAAGACTTACCGCCGTATTTACCCCATACGCAGTTCCATAGTTCTCATCGCAACATTATTTTCTTTCATGACATAAATGCCTTCAATCAAAATTTACCATGCAAAAATAATAATTGAATGAATATGCAATGCAATGATTTTCCATATCTTAAAACATTTCTCCATTTTCAAAGTCTCTACAATAATGTCAATATTCACATCTCCCATTACCTCTTTTCAATGCTCCTTCCCAAGATAACCATATGTTATCCACACTTAGCCACAACTCACCTTTCACAAGGTCTTAGCAATATAGTCTCATCGAGACCACACGTAATGTTTTTCAAACATTAATTCTCACAATCCATAATGCACAACAATTATCATCTTCCACTTAAATATTTTCATACATTCAACAATAGTTTAAAAAGTCCACCACTCTTCTACATCAAGGAAATTACCATTTCATTTTATCACATTGTGAAATCCGCACTCATTTACTTATTTAAACACAAGAAAAGAAGAATTTCATAGTTTTTCTCATGCTTTCAAAACCCCCAATTTCTAGGGTTTTCATCAAACCCAACACTCCACCCATTTCATGGTGAAACCCAATCAAAATCCTAGTTTTTCTTAAGTTTAGCATAAAGAACATTCTCATGGATAAAAAGGAAGTTGAGATTTAAAACCCCTCTTTCAAAACCCCCTTTCTCTCTTTTCATTTAGTGTAAAATTAAATTCAACACAACAACCTCATGGAAAACTTTAAAATCAACATTTATATAGAAAAACATGTATATATGACTCAAGAAGTCCCTACCTCAAAGTTTTGGTGGAGAAATGGAGTAGAAACCCTAGGATTCAAGAATGAGAGGGAGCTTTGATCTCTACCACAACAAGTGAAACTCTAGCTCTAGATCTTCAAGTTTGTGAGAGGTGATGATGATAATCAAACCCAATGAAGCAAGAATCAAAGGTTCTTGGTGCTTTGGTTAGGTTTTTTTGAGAGAAGGAGGAGGGAAAATGTTTTTAGAGAGAGAGGGAGAGGTATTAGAATGAGATACAAACAGCTCAAAAGTGTAAAAAAAAAATAGAGTTTTCGGATTGGTCCCGCCCCGCACGTGCGACACTGATCCCCGCACGTGCGGCTAGTCCTGCACTCCCCCTTCGCACCTACAATTTAAGCAGAATGCAACACACTCAGACTCCTCTCTTCCCTCACGTGCGCCCCAACCCCGCACGTGCGACCCTGGGCCCCCGCACGTGCAGCCCTGGCCCAGTAGCCCAGAATTTCCTGATTTGACTCCCGGGCATTCTAAACCCAACCGTGCACCCTCCGAAACAAGTGATAGTCAACATCGAACACAACCAGAATAGGGGCTTTCATTTCAAGAATTGTTTCCGAACGTTTCACATTCAACAAGAACACAAGCGAATGAAGCCAAGAAGGAGGAAAATAAGGAGAAAAAGAAACCAGGTCATCACATGGTCTCTATGTGTCCACTACAAAACCCGCATCGATAATCTGAACTATTCAATATATAGGGCTCGACAAGTATTTCATCTCTGCAAAAAATCACGTTAATCAAATATCGATAAACACTTGATCAGTTATATTTGTGTCACTAATTTATTTCAAAAATCATACTTACCGTTAATACAAATGTGATATGATCAAGTGGTTATTGATAATCTATTAATATGATTTTTTACAAGGATGAAGTACTCAATGAGCTTTACATATTAAACGATTTGAATCGTCAATGTAGGCTCTATGGTGGACCTACAGAGATCCAACAACATCCTCCAGTCTAATTTGGATTGGAGAAAAACCTATCTCATTATATAAAATATCCAAAACATGTTATTAATAAGAAATAATGCTAATACATACAAAAAGATTCAAAATGAGGAGGGAAGAGCACTTATCAGGTACTCCTCCGCACCAAAGTCATAAAAACCAAGTTAGCAAATTATATATATATATATATATATATATATATATATGACCTAAAGCATGAAACTAATGCAACAATACATAAAATGAACTCCTAAAGCCCGGTAGGTGCTAAACATGGCATATGAGTGTAAAATCATGGCTTTTCACATTTAAAACAATCAAATACCACAAAATGCAACAATGAGAATATCTAGTCAATGGGTATATTGGGCCTAGATGCATGAAAATCATGTCAAGTGATTAAAATGATAAGGAATTTGTGAGAAAACAGTTAGAGAGAGAGCAAGAAGTAGAAGAACAGAGGCTTGAGAGAGGAACGAAGCTGGAAATTAAACTTACTGCCTTTATTCAATAGTTACCGAGCTATTTATAAGCCAAGTCAGAACACTAACTAAAAGAGATAATGCAAAAAGATGTGGTAGATCGTGGAAGTGGTTACAATCATGTGCTGAAAATAATGAAAACAAACTACCACTAATGAAACCTGTGCTGACAGTAATGAAAACAAACTATTACTAAGCCTATTTCTAAGGCAGTATATTCTCTAAGTCCACTTCCACCTATGCATGAGATCATGGGTGTAAGCATGGGATAATGGGTGTGCATGTGTCATTCCCTGCTGCTAGAATTATCCTTGGCCGCAGGGATGAAATTGGGCCATGGCTTGGTAGTATGCAGGTGGGTTGTCCTCTGTAGTAAGGGCGGTTATAGGTGGCTCGGTTTGATCTTCGGCGGCCAAGACATATTCAATCATGAAGAGTTGGGGTGTGGTACAACGGTGACCAGGCTCGTATTTCTCATCAGAATAGTGCATAGGCCCCTTTCTCTACGGATTCGAGCCTCGGGGGCTGTAATTTTCTTGAACGTGTGGGTTTGAGGAGGAGATGGATGTGGGTTCGATTTTTGGGTAGGGGGTGGACCAAGGAGGCTAGCCGTTGTGGCGTCGGCGGGGTTATGGTTTGGAGGAATGTCGGTGGCGACAATTGGTCGGGGGAAAATGTTGGTTTTCTTTTGTAAGGTATTGCGTTCCTCGACAAGTCGGGCCACGCCAATGGTTTCGGATAGGGTTCGGGGCTTCTTGAGCTTAACATCCAAGCGAACATCATTTTTGAGTCCGGCGATAAAACATCCAATCACATGACTATCTGGCAGAACATCAATGCGTTAGGAGAGTCTTTCAAACTCTTCTTGGTACGCAGCCACAGTGGTGGTATGTTTCAACCGAGTGAGAGCTTCGGAAGGGTCATCGAAGTCGGTGGGTCTAAAACGGCGAAGCAAAGCTGTAGTGAGTTCGCCCCAATTGACAGGCCCTTTAAACTTGGTGAACCATCGATGCCATTGTAAGGCAATTCCTTCGAGATGAAAAGAGGCAAGTTGGACTCGTTGGCCTGGCGCAATACTTTGAAATTCAAAGTATTGTTTGGCTCGATATATCCACCCGATGGGATCGTCCCCTGTGAACCTTGGGAAACTAAGCTTCAGGTTGGTAGCTGGTTTGCTTGGTTCCGGGTTAAGGCGGGGGTTTGAGCTGGAGCTGAATGGGCTGATATTGGTAATATCAGAGTCGGGTTCGGCCGGTGGGAAAAGTTACAAGGTTTGTAACTTGGCAAGGATTAATTGAAGGGTGTTATGCATTTGATCGAAATTTGACTCATGACGGGCCAAAATTTCGCTTACTTCATTGCAAAATTCAGTGTTGGTTTTGCCACGGGTATCCATGGAACGCGGCTTTGATGCCACTGATAAGGAATTTGTGAGAAAACAGTTGGAGAGAGAGCAAGAAGCAGAAGAACAGAGGCTTGAGAGAGGAACGAAGCGGGGAATTAAACTTACTGCCTTTATTCAATAGTTACCGGGCTATTTATAAGCCAAGTCAGAACACTAACTACAAAAGATAATGCAAAAAGATGTGGTAGATCGTGGAAGAAGTGGTTACAATCATGTGCTGAAAATAATGAAAACAAACTACCACTAATGAAACCTGTGCTGACAGTTTTGAAAACAAACTATTACTAAGCCTATTTCTAAGGCAGTATATTCTCTAAGTCCACTTCCACCTATGCATGAGATCATGGGTGTAAGCATGGGATAATGGGTCATGTTTGTGGATAATGGGTGTGCACGTATCATAAAACTAATGGTACAATGCAAAACAAGTAGTGAAAGTAAGAAATTAATGTTTAAAACTACTCCAAATCATGGAATATGCATGATTATGACTTCACCATTATCAAAACCAAAAATCTTGACTCAAGTGTATGAAGATAATAAGAAAAATAAAAACTAACCGATAGTTTGGTAGTCAAACCGAAGAATATGAGAGAAACTTGAAAACAAGGCCCCTGGGTGTTTTTCCCAGGCCTTGGAGCTCTCAAGGCACATTTTGGATGCTCAAGGAAGGTCTCCTTTTTATAGGGTTTTGGGAGAGCTATGAATTTTTGTGTATTTTGGTAGAGGTTTGATGTAAAAAGTTTCCTTTTCACTAAAAACTAGACAAGGTTTTAGTTAAATTCTATGCATTGATTACATATTATTGAATGCATTGTAAGGGTATTCTCTTACTAATGTCCTTTTTTTTTCTTCTTTAGATTTATAATTAGTATTGTTAGACATGTACTTATATTTTGTGTTGCAGTTATTTATCAAGTGCTGGTTTGAAGGGAGAAATACCAAAGGAAATTGGAAAACTTACTTCTCTTGCTACTTTGTAAGGGTATTTTCTACTATTTTGCACAATTGACTTACTTAATTCTTTCTTTATAATTTGAAGTTTGATTGTGAAATAGATGTAGACATTCTTTTTAAGAGGAATTTCAATTCAAAGCTTAAATATAGGGTTTTGAGGCCAAAAAATGCTTTTTCACTTTCTTCTCTGCTCCATGAAAGGATGAAATTGTTGTTTAGGATAATTCATACAAGTCATTGGAGCAATGACATGTGACACCTTCTCGACACTCAATAAATTTTTCTTGGTCTCCCTTGATTTGACTATGTACTATGTCAAATTAATGCATTAATTAATTTCAAAATTTTGGAAGTGCTACAATTCCACAATTCATTGTCATAGTTTTCTTAGTTAATTTTGCGTAGAGCACATGAAATGCAGACAATGTAGTGTTATTAGGAAAATTTAACATTCTAACATGGTTCTTATTATTATGCATTTTTTATGAAGATTAACTGCTTTCATAAATAATTACCATCGAATTTCAAATGAACTTATGTTAACAAAAACAAATGATGGGAGAGCACATGTTGTCTCAAATCTATATTTCTTCATACGCTCTTTGTTAGGTAATTTCACCAACTCCTTAACCTTCATGAAAAAATAATTATTTTTTTAATGAAAAACCTCTCAGCTTGATTGGTTTGATTTTCAAATTATGTTTTCCATCTTCTTTTTCATCTTTTCCCCAAAGAATCAGCAAACTAATTTAGTGAATAAAATGAAAAATACAAAAAATTAATCATTTCCGTATGATTCTCCCTTATTTTGGGAAGAAAACACTACAAGAAATTGCACTTTTAGCGACTAAATTTTTAGTCCCCAAAAATAAGATTTTGTCGCCGAAATATTTTCCCGACTAAATATTTTGGTCACCAGATTTGTCACGCGAAGATTGTCGGGGAAAGTATTGGCGAATAAAAAATATTTAGTTGCCAAAAGTCCTATAAATGCCAAAATTTTTTAGTTGCCAAAAGTAAAGGTATTGGCGACAAAAATAATATTTAGTCGCTGATGAGGCTTAATTGGCGACTAATCTGTTAGTCACCAAAAGCTACTAATTTAATTTAAATCACATTTTCAGCTACTAAAATTTTTGTTGCCAAAACTTCAAGTATCTAACTTTTTTTAGCTACTAAATGTTTAGTCGCCTAAAATCCAATTTGTTGTTTAGCTACTAAATAGTTTAGTCGCCTAAAGTCTAAGTTTTTTTAGCTACTAAAGTTTTAGTCACCTATAATATAATTTTTATGTTTTGGCAATTAAATATTTAGTCACCAAAAGTGTTTTTTCCTTTTTTGGCTACTAAATGTTTAGTCGCCTAAAGTCCGATTTGTTGTTTAGCTACTAAATATTTTAGTCACCTAAAGTCTAAGTTTTCTTAGTTACTAAAATTTTAGTCGCCTATGATATAATTTTTATGTTTTGGTGAAATATTTAGTCGCCAAAAGTGTTTTTTTTCCCTTTTTTAGCTACTAAATAATTAGTTGCCTAAAGTGTTTATAAATGACTACTAAATATTTAGTCTCCAAAAGATTTAATTCTTTTTTAGCTACCAACTATTTAGTCTCTAAAAATATTTAACTTTATTTTTGGCTACCAATTGTTTAGTTGCCAAAAACATCATTAACATGCATGTATCTACCGCAATCTGTAACAGGTATAAAAACAAAACAATATGTATATATTATCACCCATTCCATAACTCATTTCACTTACAACCATCAAACAAAAAAAAAAAAAACTTATAATGTCAACTTATATACAAACCAAGTATATAATCCAATTGGAAATAATTACTTCATACATAACAAATAAGCATATCAAAACAATGTCCTCCCGTACACAAACATATATTTACTACCATACGAAATGACCATTTGGCATGGTACAAAATTACCATGGTAATCTGTACCATGGCAATAAATACAAGTTCCATGTCAAAAGTATTTTATACCCCGCCAAAAGTTATATATACGATCCATCCAAATTCCACACAAAAAACAAAGAACGACAAAAAAGCAGGACTGTTCAAAAGTGTAAATTATCCTCTGTACACAAAAATGAAAGATCTAAATGTCTATGCCAAAAGCCATCTACAAAACAAAAATTACACTCATTAGTTTCATAGAGCATTTGAACATAATTTCTATGCCAAAAAAAAGTTATTACATCTGCAAAGGGATTTTTTTTCATTTTTTTATTTATTTTTTGGCTGAGGTGTAGTTTCATCCCTCAATCATAATATTTTGAAAATGAAATTAACATTTTTGAAATGTTAGGAACCTAAATAACGCAAAGTGCAACAGGAGTAAAAGTCCATTGGCATCTAAAAAATGACAATCAATGTAAGGTTGTGCATCATATCTATTCAACAATAATGAGGAAAAACGTAGCCCCTAAAAAATGACAATTAATGTAAGATTGTACAGCATATTCAGCAGTAATGAGAAAACATTTAGCCCCTAAAAAGTGATAATTATTGTAAGGTTGTGCAACATATTCAACAGTAATGAGAAAAAATTTAGCCCCTAAAAAATGTTTGGTTGTCACATTTAGCAGAAAACACTAACTATATTTGGCTAATTTGGCTACTAAGTATTCTTTTTGTCGGAAAACACTAACTATACAACGACTAATTTTTTTTAGTCACTGATGGTTTATATTTTCCCCAATTAAGTTTTGGATGGCAGAGAGTAAGCCAATAAAACAAGCCTATCTTTTGGCGACTAAAATTTTTTTGGCCGGCAAAAGGCTGTGTACACAGACTAAAACCAAAATTAGTAGCCTAAAATATAGACAAACGCCGACTAAAACTTTTTTAGTCGCCTATTTAAATGATTTTTAGTGACCAATTTTTTTGTCACAAATAACTAATATATGGCTACTAAAAAATTTTAGTAGCTAAAATGTTAAATATTGCCGGCCATTAGAAAAGATTAGTCAGTAAAGGTCTGACTTTTCGCGAGTAAAAAAGTTTTAGTCGCAAAATTTGGTAGCCGAATGTGCAAATTGTTGTAGCGAAACAATTTCTAAAGATTAAAGAAAGTCTTTTTGAATTTATTTTCATAAAACCAGTTACTATTATTGAAAACATATCCTTAAAAGGTTGGAAACATTTTGGAAAAAATCGATGGAAAAAGCTAACAAAAATAAGGCAAAAATAACCTTTAAAAGTTAGACTATGTTCTGTTTTCAGCATTATTTTTCAAAAATAATTTATTATTTTTAATTTTTAAGATCTTCTAGTTTGGACCAACTTATAAAGTATAAACAAATTGACTCAAAGTTCAATTTTTTTTTTTTTTTTGGCTGAAAGCAAAAACAAAAAAGTCAATTTACAGGCTGAGCAAAGTATCATTATTTTGTATGAGGTGATTTAGTTTATTATTACCTTTAGACCGCGATGAACTCCTCATGCACATTTTTGTATCATTGAACGGTCTTAGCTCCATTGAACGAGAAGACGGTGAAATGCATGACACATACAATGTTTGATGTAACTTTTGATTGACAACAATTTTTTCTCTTCTTTATTTATTTATTTTCTTTTTTTTCTCTTTCAGAAGTGGCAACCATACTATATGGAAACATCAATGAAATTTTATTTAATTATTTTTGTTTAATTTTGTTGCCACAGATACTTGGCTAATAACAAGTTTAGTAAGATTCCATCTTCATTACAAAATTTGTCCAAGCTTTCATCTATGTAAGTTGTGTAATCATGTTGAAGCATATTTAATTTCAATTTACGTTTTAAATATATTTTCCCTGCCTAACTAAGATCATCATGATTATCTCATCATCATTGTCAAAATGTGTAAAACCCTAACAATGCTATGGGTAATAAAATGAACATGTTAGGGTAATTTAACATTTATGATGCATGTAAGGTTTTATACACTAACATTGCCTATCTATGATGAACAGTCTCCTTGATGATAACTTTCTGGGTGGACACATACCAACTTTCTTTAGTCAAATGAAGTCGTTGACCATGTTGTAAGTTTGCATCATAACTTCATCATTCATTGGTTTAATATCAGCAAATTAAATTCGAAATGGTCTGTCTTTTTTATTAGTGTTTGGCATGTAAAGATTACCTCATCTATCTATCTATTTTCTACGAGACATTTTACAGTACATAAACTTTTTTTTTTTTTTTTTTTTTTTTGAGTGGAATGCACAATATGGTCTATCTCTTTTCTTTCTTTTTTTTCTGAGACATTCGAAATGGCCTATTTAATTTTTTTGTGATCTTTAGTTATGAGTTAAGTAATGTATAGTTATGATTCGCCATAATTGTTGAAAATATTTTTTAGCTATAAGTCATTATGGTTTATGATCATGATTATGACCTAATGAAGTTTTTTTTTATTTTTTATTATTATTATTATGACTAAAGTGGTCCGGTGGTGCTACATGCACTAATTAGTGTACACAATAGTATAACAGCTAGTGTTATAATATTATTATTGACCATATTTATTATACAAGTTATAAATATTCAAAACCATACAAATGATGCCACATCATTTGTTATAATATATTAGTGTATACATTAATTAGTACATATAATATTATTCAAAGTGATTATTAGTTGTGATTCATTGTGGTGTTTTTAGTTATGAATGGATGTAACTTTTTGGGTGAATCAAAAAGTTTTGGGTGAAAGAATGAATGTAACTTAGAGAAAGTGATATTTTACATATACTCCCAAAAGAGCAGCGTCTATTATAGAATTTTGGTCATACAACATCCAATGGGAAATGAGGTAATTTACTACCAGTCAATGGGAAGTTTTCAAACATTACATCATAGGTGGAAGAACCAAAATTAATTACAAAAATATGAAATCTTTTGGTAGAATTATGAAATTACCCTTGTCGTCTCTTTTAGTTTACCTTTAGAAATAACCCTAGCCACTTCTTCCGTCACTGCCATCACTTCATTCTCCCTCACTACTCCCAACCGCCTCCCCTCACCCTAGTCCTCTCTTACCCATTGTGGCTAGCCCTGCCCTTTCTCCACCCACTTCTGCCACTCTTCTACCTATTCTCTTGATCTATGCCACTCATCTACTCACTTTCACCACCCTAGATTATAACCACCAAACCCGACACCCTAGTCAACATCCAAACCAACTAACTGGATAACAAGTAGCGATTAGAACCCATTCGATGGTAGTATAAACAAGTGTGGCTGGTACTTATAAAATGCGCATTGGAATATATTCAATTTGTTTACAATCGTTGAATTGAATAGCCAATTATTGGGCAACAATGGGTGCAAAATAGTTATTCATAGTTAAAACGGTAAATCTAGAGATATTTGAAGAGAGTATCTAATACATAACAAGTCCACAAAACTCCTAAGAAGATGAAACATCCATGGGTCACGGGCAGCTATGGAAGTTAAGAAACATAATGTGTAGCTTCATGAAATACAAGAGACATTAGCACCATTACTGGGACAACAAATAAGGGAAAGAAAAGGGAAACAAGTCAACGCCTGAGAAGGAAAGAAATATCACAGGTCGTCGTGAGCGATCACAAGCCACTGCAACCTATAAAAGTTTTAGGAATCAAATGTTTTTGTCCCCAATAGTGAAAATTTTGTTGTAAAAAATATTTGGGGACCAGTTCTTGTCATCATGAAAGCCGTCATTTGTAGGTCATCCCAAAAGTCAAAAAAATAGCTTTTAGTGACAACATTTTGAAATTGTTGCTAAAAATGCACTTGTAGGGATAACTTAATTTGGTGCCAACAAGTTTACTTTTTGAGAGAGAGAGGGAGAGAGAGAAATTGGTCTCAAAAGGATAGCTATTCATCACTAAATGTCCAATTTCATTGTTAAAAATAAAACATTTCATCCCTGAAAAATAATTGTCCTTAATTTTTTGTCTCCAAAACCCGAATACGTTGTAGTGAGTAGTTAAAGCATTGCGTCTATAAATAGAAGGCCAATTGAAGGAGAAATGAACCTCTAGATTAAAAATCTAGACTTATTATTATATTTTCTTAGTAGTAGTTCTCACTAGTTAGGAGTAGATTCGATTCTTATAACCATAGGAGGAACTTCAAAGATATGAGTAGGAGTAGCAAGATAATGTGATCTTGAAATTGTATTGTTCATTCAATCAATTCTCAATTCGCTTTTAGTAATTATATTGTTCACTAATTCAATTACTTTTCACTTTATTTCCTTTTACTTTCTTTTTACTTTTAATTATGTATTACTTATCCTCGATGTTGGCACATTGAGACAAAAGAACCGTTAAGACATTCATCTAGTTTTTAATTAGCTTAGGTTTAAATCTAAAAAGGTTGTTCAACCTTTTCTACCATGCCTAAATTACAATTATGTCATTCAAAGGCATTTCAACGCCAACATTTTTTTTGGCACACCCGATAGGACACATTTTCTAGTGCTCCATGACAAGGACAAAGAGCTAATAAGAAGTTATATTTTTAACAATGTGCAAGATGCAGGGAGAGAACCAGAGGTTGCTATAAATGCCTTGAACAAGGAAGTTTTCTTAAAATAATAATAGATAGGCTAGTCATAATGTTGGTTAGTAAAGTCATAACATTTCTAACCTAAATGTGGTTTCGAACTAAGTTTTATTCTAGATAGGGCCAATTATAAAACAACTAGGCCAACAACTAATGAGTTATGTTAATAATTTGGCAACTAATTTGTTGGAGAGGTAACATCCCCTTGATCACCATTTCTCTAGAATATACAGAATAACTTGCCACCATTTCAACAAAGAATGAATGGACATTGTAGAGAGGATCATTGCCAACATATGGTTGGAGATGGCCAACAGAAAAAACCAATAATCTAGTATCTCTCAAAGAAGAATTTGTGGTCTTGAAAGCCCACAAAAATTTTATTATAAGCTAATGCTTCCAATGGAATGGTACAAGCAAAATGACTATAATTACCCTATTCATGAGCAAAGTTTGAGAGGAAATGATAATATAGTAAGACTATCTCTGAGGTTAGCAAATAATCAAGCATTCAAACAAGGACTCGAGAGTGGGAGAAACCAATTAGGCAAGTAAACAAGAAACCAAGAATGATGGAAAATATTCTATCTCCAGTGCTTGAACAACCACCAATGGTTGTTGTAACACCTACCTTACCAATAGATAAAATTATTGGTCTCATACAAGATATTTATGGAACTATGGCTCGCAAGGGTACAATCTCTAGTATATATAAGACAATATGTTAAGTAGGTAAATCGGTTGTATGAATTCTTAAAGGGATTCAGATTTATTACTTTATTCTCAGGAAGTGGAAACTAGTCAACCATTGAACACATTGAAGGTTCACTAGACAATGAGGGAAATTTACAAGTAATGATTGCTTATAACTTAGAATGTTCTTTATTTCTTTGACTAGAGCAACTTTCACGTGGTATACTTGTTTGTTGCTGTAGACACCCCATTTTTTACTAGCCCTACGACTTGGGAGCTCTGACTCAAACCTCTCGATGATGAAAGCAAAAAACGTTTTAAGCACAAGTGCTGAATGAAGAGAGACAAACCTTCCTACACCTGTTTTGGCCAAAGAGTTTTCCAAACCTTCAAACGTATATATATTTTTTTAAATGTTTTTAAGATAAGTGGTACCTTTTCGTTCATTTCAGCCATTATTAGCATTATATTTCCAAAGCTATTGACCTCTTTTTCAGAAAAGAGAGCTTAGTAAGTCGGAACTAATGAGAAGACAGGGAGACCTTTTGAGAAAAGTAACGCTGGACAATGCTTGGTTGGTTGGACAACGTTAGAGAAACACGAAAAACAACATTGGTCAAAGCGAGCACATTATGACCACTTTGGTCCTGGTAAGCACGCCTGAACCATTCGTGCTCTACCAAACAAATTTTTGTGAAAACACGACGAACCACTCTTGGTTGGCCGTACAACTCTTGTCAGGCAAATGCCAGCCAACATCAACCAAACAAATTTATCATGAGATGTCTCCTAGCATCTTGAAATATGCCATTCGAATCTTTAAGGATCAAATGGTATATTCCAAGCACCCCAAGCCCTTTTAACCCCCCTCCTCTTAAAGGATTAAGGGTTGGAAAATTTGACTAGTTTTAGTCAATTTCATAAATTAATTGAGGGAACCTAATTTAAACTAGTTAACTATTTGAGTAATTTAATCAATCTGAGTGAGGATTAGAGAGTTTTGAGCATAGAGTTTCATATACCTATACACTTGGACTGCTCTCTTCATACATTTGCTTGGAGTTTTGGAGCTAGAGATCTTCACCAGCTTGAGAGAGTTTAGATTGGAGCTTGACTAGCTTGGGCCCTATCTCTACAAGCCTAGAGGAAATCCCTACTTACATTTTTGAGTTTCTTGCATCTTGCATCTCTTTTTCTTTCTTGTTGGAATTTTCTTGAGATCATTGAGATCATTGTTGGGTTGTTGGTGATAGTTTAGTTGGATTCTCTCTTCTTCTACTCTTTATGTAGCTAGTGAAGGCCTGTATAGCAACTTTGGTCAAGTCTAACTTGCTTTTTCATGATTTGTTATGGGTTAGAAACCCAGGTACAGTTTCCTCTATGAGAAAAGATTGGATCTCCCCTCTTGAACCTCTTTTACATGAATTTGAGTAGCTTGTCCTCATTTTCACGAGTAGGAGGAGGAAAACCTCTCTCTCATCATTAGAGTTTTCCTCATTTGTTATTTTGATTGATTTTTGTTAATATAAAAGTCCAGGCAAGGTTTCCTCTATAAGAGTAGACCGAATCTCCCCTCTAGTCACTATTTCATGAATTTGGGTACTTTATACCCTTTTTCATGTGTTAAAGGGAGACAATCTCTTTATCGTCGTTGGAGCCTTCTTATTTCATCATTGTCTTGATTTTTGTTGATACAGAAACCCAAGCCAATTTTTCTCCACAAGAGTAGACCAAATCTCCCCTTTCGTCACTATTTCAAGAATTTGCACACTTTATACCCCTTTTCATGTGCT